ATTGTTATAAATGGTGTTGTTAATTCAGATTTTATAATATAAAGAAACAACTAAGTTGTTATGTTACGAGTCTCAAGTATATTATTGGAAAATACGTGCACATGTTGGCATTTGTAAAACTTTGGGACTGCTTTTTCAATTGTTTGTGAGTCGAAGGAGTGAATACAAAGCTTGTGAAGAAAGGAAAGAGCTCATCTTCATATCTCTTTCTTCAAAGCTGTTAAATCAAATGATACGAGTCCTTGAAATTTGATCTAACGGTAAAAAATTATTATAATTTTTAAAAGATTTTACTAATTTCTCTATTTTTAACCGTTGTATCAAATTTTAAAAGTCTGTATCATTTGATTTGGTGGCTTTTCCGTGAAGAAATGGGCTTGGACTTGGGAAGAGGATCCTCTCCTGAGCTCAGGATGAGGATCCTCTCTTGAGCTCAGGATGAGGATCCTCCTGATCAGCCCATCTGGACTGTTTAAATTTAATCAACGGTTACAATTATTATAATTTTTAGAAAGCTCTTTGTTTGGAGCCGTTGGATTAAATTTAAACGGTCCAGATGGACTGGTCAGGAAGATCCCATCCTCTTCCGGGTGTAATATACAGAAACAGAGTTCTTTTATGTGCCTCACTTGTAGTTTTAATAAATATTTAGGGCCTGCTTGGTTATTTAAAAAATTGGACCTGAAAAGTTTTATATTTTTTTCCAAGAACATAGTTTCTGACTTCAATACTCATAAAATTTGTTTGGTACACCAACTTCAAACTTAATCTATATCTGTATCAATTATTCAAAGGCAAGGAAAAAACCCAGATGTATATCAAATACTCAAAAAATTCGTTCATGACTATAACAGCAGCGCAGGAATCGAATGTCGGCGAAATCGAATGAATCTGGGTGAAATCCAGGGGAAGGAAATTGAACAGTGCTCACGGTGGAGATTTTTTTTTTTTTTTTAACTGTAAATTCTCACTTTTTTTGTTTTCTGGAAGTAAGGCTTTTTAGTTTTTTGTTAAAAAACAAAAAGACCATTTAGTTTTTTTTTTTTTTTTTGTCAAACAAAGACTATTTAGTTTTAAGTTGTGTTATTGAGAAAACTCTATCAAATACAAATTCTTGACATAACGCTTAAAAGCTATTAGGGAAATTGTATTTAAACTCATGCAACAAGCTTATTTTCTATACCTATATTATTTTTAACTAGACTATCAATATTTTTGAAACCCAAATTTACTACCTAAATTACCCTCATAAACCAAATTCAAAAATTTATCTTTACACACATTTTCAAAAGATAAAAATCAAAATCAAAATCAAAGCATACATTTTCTTCTTTGATGTTCTCTCCTTCCATCAAGTATGTCATATTTCCCTTCAAATTCTTCATGATTTAATAGAAATATAAATCAAAATAAAAAGAATTGGTGAGAATTTGAGAAACTTCTTGTTCATTTGCACTAGGTGCCGTCAATTTGTGTAAGAGACCAAACATCTCTTCTCTGTTAGATACTGAGAGTGCGGTACCATTTGGAGAGGCGTGTACTCATTAGTTTAAGTTCTCTTTCATATTTAGCATGTTTACTTATAATATATGGACGCTGAGCTACCTGGCCTTAAAGCAATTCCACCGCTAAAAAAAATGTACCAGCACCCAACCCATTTATCCACTCAGTGAATAGTAATAGACCCCAATGAATAGTAATAGGCCAAAGCATCTCCACCCCTAAAAAAATGCGCTGGCACAAACGATCTCCATCCCTACAAAATGCGCTGACACCCAGCCCATTTAAAATATTATTAATTTTTTTATAAAATAATAAATAAAAAAATAGTTTTATTTCGGATAGAATTTTTAACCGATCTCGTCAAGCCACGTGTCATTATCCGAACGTACTATTTTGTGAATAGATTTCCTCTAAGATTTTCAACCAATCCTGACACGTCACGTATCACTTCCTGTTTACAATAATTTAGCCAATATTTTCAACCAATCTTGTCACACCACGTGTTATTATTCAAACGTACTATTTTGTGGATAAATTGCTGATAAGATTTTCAACCAATCCTAACGCGCCACGTGTCACTTCCTGTTTACAATAATTTAGCCAAGATTTCGATAAGATTTTCAACCAATCACGTAGTGCCACATGGCATTGTCCAGAACCTCATCCTTTTTTTTTGTCCATATAAACCCTATATCCCTACATCCATCCTCGCACCAAACTCAATCGATTTTTTTAGCTCAGAATCCTTCTTTATCGTTTTCAAATATTGAGTTCTTACAATGTCTTCTTCAATGATAGTGTATAAACAGTTGCAGGAGCAACAGAAATGGTTGTTGGCACAACAGGAAGAATTGGTCAATCTCGAGGAAGGTGGAGGTGGAGATGAGGCTTTCGCAATGGAGGAGGATGAGGATGATCACCATAGAAGGTAGAAGGCCTCACATTCCCATTGTGTCATGGAAGCTGTGAGTTAGATTACCGGAAGCATGAGAGATGACATTTCTCCAACAAGTAAAGGATGCGTTGAGTTTTTTCCAACGACCTTGAAGACATTGACTAGTTCTGGCGTCTTTTCCATGTACATCGCAAAACGCTTTCGTAATTTTACTCAACATTTCTTGCTTATCCATCTCATTACCAGTAATCGGATCATGAGTAGTGTGAACCCAACATTCACACAACGTAACATCTTCAGTGAGCTTCCACGAAGTCATTTTTTTTCTCTCAAAGTGTACAAAATATTCAAATGTAGAAAGTGTAGAAAATATTGAAATGTAAGGTAGAAGATGAGGGTTAGGTATTTATGGAAAATAAAAATTTAAATTTTTTTGTATTTTTTTTTAAATTTTCATAATTTGTAATTAATTTTTAATAAATTTTAATGTTGTTAATTAATCTGGACCGTTGAATTTGAAAAATATTCAAATCCAACAGCCAACGAGCTGCCACGTGGCCAACGATTATAATTCTGACCATTGGACCTTTTTTTTGGGAGAAAAAACGTGGACCGTTGATATGTGATCGGACGGTCCAGTTTAAAAGTGAAATTCAATTTTTTTTTACCGTTGGAAAACCAACAGTCTAGAAAAACTAGCCGTTGGAAATCTAACGGCATAGAGTGGGCCACGTTGTCGAGCCCGAGTGACATTTGAGTGCGCCTGTCAGCGGGCCCGCCTCTAATTTCTTGTCTGCTACTCGCGCCCACGCGCGCGTGAAGGTTACCCGCCAGGCGTAAAAAAACAAACGAGCTGGTCCCTTGGTCAGTCGATTTTAGGCTGGCCTGGAGATTGGCTTGGGCTGGGTGCCGACCTCTTTTGCTTCTGGTGGAAGTGCTCTTAGATTATTTTGAAGAAGTAAAAAGAGTCCTGGAGGAAATGGAAACACAAGATGTAGAAAAATGCAATTGGTCAACATATAGTAACAAGGCAAAGCAAGCCCTCAAAATGTCGGAAGAAATGATGAAACCCTGAAGCAACGCAAGCCGTACCATTTTTTTATTAACCTCCATGCCTGCACTTCTAATCTAGGTGAGGTCAAAGAGGTGTGGAAAATTTTCAAGTAAACGTTCCCCGCAACAAAAAATATAAGCTATCTTGTAAGGCTTCAGGCCCTTTTGTAAGCTAAACCATATTTGAGGGATTGAAAGAATTGTTTGAGGAATGAGAGTCCATCTACTTAAGACTTACATAGCTGCAGGAAAATAATATCTTGAGATGTGCCAATGGTGGCACATCGAATTTTTCTCTGAGTTCATAAAATAAAAACTCATAAATCAATTCATATCTTAGTTGGAGGATCGAAAACTTCAAAATCAATATCCATTTGTCAAAAAGAGCTTATTCTCTATGAGAATATCTTAGGATTTTAGCAAGAATAGAACGCAAGAGAAAGATTGCGTGATAATAATGGTTTGATTATTATGAGTGGGTTTATTGATACAGTTTAGTTTTATTATTAATTTTATCTTGTACTTTATGGTAATTATTAAATAAGATAAAAAAGACATTGTACATTTAAAATTTAAATTGGGTGTAGAAAGACAGATTCAAATAAAATTTCCCAAACTATTATTTAGTTTATAAAGCTGAATTTGAATTAAACACCAAACAAGCTATTATATTATTTTGTAAAATTTAATAAAAATGATTACGGAAAAAGGTGATTCTTTATGTAACAAATATTGACTTTCATGAAAAGTGCTTAGGCTAAGTTTATTTAACAAAAAATTATGCTATAACTTTATTTAATAAAAAAGACTTGAATTATAATAAAACCCCCTTAAATTTTAACAAAAAAAATATTATTGAAAAAATACATAATTTTAATATTAAAAAAACAGACGCGCGGGACCCTCACATCTTTATACATACTGTTTATGAAACTTACTACATTGTTTATGAAACTTAACGGTACTATACTGTTTATGAAACTTAATAGTACTATACTATTTATAAAATTTACTACACTGTTTATGAAACTTACTACATTGTTTATGAAACTTAACGGTACTACACTGTTTATGAAATTTACTACACTGTTTATGATACTTACTGCATTATTTATAAAACTTAACGGTACTACACTGTTTATGAAACTTACTACATTGTTTATGAAACTTAACGGTATTACACTGTTTAGGAAAATTAAAGGTAATATACTATTTATGAAATTTAACGGTATTACACTGTTTTCCTGAATGCGTGCCGGGCTCACATGTTTATATGTTTTTTTTTTCTTTTTGTCCTTATCATCAAGTAAAATTATTAGATAATTTTTTGTTAAAATGTAAAGTTTTGATCCTCTTTTCATTAATTTTTCTGTAAAAAAAAAAAAAAAAGCCCTTTTACGTCAAGCATCATACTCGTGTAGAACATTCTTCGCCAATCTGGACAGAACAGGAAGCAGATCAAACACTGCTCCTTTTCTTTGTATCCTCTAGAATTCTCTCACCTTTTCTCTTTACTTCCTTAAATCACTCTATAAATACATCACTCTAATCCCCCATTTTCCACACTAATCAATCAAATCGTTCGGCAATCTAACACAGTTTGCGTCAACATGGATTTGATAAACGGGGGAAACAGTTTCTTCAGAGTATTGGAAGACATGCTGGACTTCGCCGATCAAGAGCCCGAAAAGTCCCGAAACGCCAACAACCCCTCTCGGGCGTACGTCCGAGACGCGAAGGCGATGGCGGCCACCCCAGCGGATGTGGTGGAGTACCCGAACGCGTACGTGTTCGTGGTGGACATGCCTGGAATCAAAGCCAATGAAATTAAAGTGCAGGTGGAGAACGACAACGTGTTGGTGGTGAGCGGGGAGCGGAGGGGGGAGAAAGAGAAGGAGAGCAAGGATGCGGTGAAGTATTTGAAGATGGAAAGGAGGGTTGGGAAGTTTATGAGGAAGTTTGTGCTGCCGGAGAATGCGAACTTGGAGGCGATCACGGCGGTTTCTCAAGACGGCGTGCTGACGGTGAGGGTGGAGAAGTTGCCTCCGCCAGAGCCCAAGAGGGCCAAGACCATTCAGGTCAGTGTTGCTTGAGGTTGAAGATATGAGGTTATTGTACTCTGAATTTGGTGTTTGTTCTTTTACAATATGAGGCATGTATCATGTTCATGCATGTACGAGGTGTTATATGTGTGCGTATGAAGTTTGAATAAAATTGAAGTTTGCTTTAGCTTTAATAGTTGATGTTAAGTGCATCAAGTGAAGTCAAGGTTCTAAAGACACTAGATGCTAGATGCTAGTCAGGCGGTGAATTAGTGCTTAACGCTTAGGCAAGGTTTTAAAAGTCGTTAGGCGCTAGTCGGCGGGGTCTAGCGCCTAGGTGGTTAGGCGGGGTCTAAGCAGGCGCCTAGACAGACTAGGCGGATTTAAGTAAATCTATCATATTTCATGTAAATAAGTGTCTGCTTCTACTTGAAATATATATAATTTTATCATAAACTACAAAATAGAATGCATATATATCATGAAGTATTGGAACATAATGAAAACATGTAAAATAAGGATATAATGTTTGTTCATTTAAGTATGCAACAAGTCTCTTACAATTTATTGGAAAAAAATAAAATGCAAAATGAAAGTTATGTATTTTCTGTCTAAGTGAGTTGCAACCTAGGCGGGCTAGGCGGGTGCCTAGGTGATCTAGGCGGTGGGCTGGGGCCTAGGCATTAATCGGGGCGGTGCGCTGGGGCCTAGCGCCTAGGCGGCGCTAGGCGGGGATTTTTAGAATAGTGCGCTTAGGTGGTTAGGCGGGATCTAGTCGGGCGCCTAGGCGGATTAGACGGATTTAATTAAATCTATTTATATTTCGTGTAAATAAATATCTGATTATACTTAAAATATATATGATTTCATCGTAAACTACAAAATGGAATGACATATTTATTATGAGCTATTGGAACATAACATAATGAAAACATACGGAGCAAGTATATAATGTGTGTGCCCTTAAGTATTCAACAAATCTCTTACAGTTTATTGAAAAAATAAAATGCAAGATGAAAGTTATTTACTTTCTGTCTAAGTGAGTCGTAACATAGGTTACATGAGTCTGGGCGGGTTAGGCGAGTGCCTAGGCAGTCTAGACGGGCGCTTCAATAGGTCTAGGCATCTTTTCTTAATTTTCAAATGTCTAAACATTAATAGGACGATGGTTAATCGTCTAATGCTTAGATGGCGCTAAGTAAGGATTTTTAGAACATTGAGTGAAATACATGCACGAAACTTGGACGAAATTAAATGTCGTCGCGAAACCCTTCGCCTTTCTTTTAAATCAAAGTAGGACGAGTGACTGCAACAACTAAAATGTTTGTCGCCGATTTTAACAATTGTGATGTTTGTTAGCGTAACAGAAAGACAGTAATCTGAAATTGACCACATTAATTACTAGAACATTCAACAGCCTTAGTAAGAAGGGGATCAAAGAGAACTGGCCATTTCTTTACGTTGCGCACGTCCTTCACGATCGAACAATTTAATGTTGAATTTCATCAAGCAGCGCTCTCGAGCATTCTCACATCTTTCTCCAATGATGAGCACCACGCTCAAGCCTATGCAAAGAGAGTTAAAAGTGATAGATATTACGCTATAGCCAGTCTCTTAATTCAAATTTTAACATACGAGTTACTTTATATTTCATAATTTTTTACGATAAAATAATTTACGATGTATTTATTTAAATACGATAATGAAAATTCATATTTGACTGTGTAGAATAACCCACTCCTCCGCTAAGTACATTTTACTTATTGGTATTTGCTTTTGGTCATGAGAAGGATTTTCTTTAGGAGAAGGATTATTTTTCCTCTTAATTTTTTTTCCTTTTTTTCCATTTTTATTTGAATAATGATGATTTTGTCACATTAATATTTTATATTGATTTTTTTATAAAGATAATAAGATAAAAAGTAATATATGAAAGAATGGAACGGAAATGGATGGAAATATGAGGAAATAGAATCCTTCACCTTTTCTTTTGAAAAAGAAGAAAGTTCATCTCATTAATGTAATACGTCTTCGACTTGGATGGAGAGGTCCATCCAATGTGAGATTGGGTTGCTTTTACACTGAACCAATGGCTTCAATCCACGTCATCATTTCATTTTCACTCCCGTAACCCACCCTTCCTTATGTACAATGAGATGGAGAGATTTTTCAGTATAATTATCACACGAGATAGTATATCACGTGTTATTATATAAATGGTGGGATATATGTATTAAAAAGTTAATAACTTAAAAAATAAAATTTTTCACCACTTACATAAAAATACGTGATGTATAACTCGTATTCCTATTATAACTAAAAATTTCTCCATAAAATGGGACAAATCTTTGAAATAAAAATAGGGCGGATCCATACAAGGACTCGGGTGGTTTCGGGACGCTTCAAAGGATATTAATTGTAATAAACGAAAGAACAAACAATTATTTTTAATTATTTAATTAATATAATTAATAATTTATTCATTTATCGACAATTCCAAGTAATAATCTTGTTAAATAATATTTTTTTTAGCTCAAGATTTGTCGAAATTCTACTGTATAAAATGATATTTGGTGTCACGTTTATGATTTTAAAGCCTACATGGATAGAAAAAAGTTGCATTTCCTTGGAACTCAAATATGTATATATGTTTCACTTAGTTCTACAATTTAATGATATTTTTTTTTCGTTTGTAAGTGAGATGTTTTAGGTTTGATTCTCGCTAAAAGTTGAATTTAAATCATATTATTATTAAACCATTGTGAAGTTAAACTTATTTTATTTTCTATAATTTAGATAATATCGTTTCATAAAAAATATCAACTATGCAAAAAAAAGTAGCATTCACGTGAGGGGGTATGCTTGCCAATTGCCACATATTCTGGTCATGCATTTGCATCAGCTTCCGACAGAACTGCCACGCGGATTCCCAACTCCCTCTGAACTGCCACGCGGATCCCAAACCCCCTCTGAATTCCCACGTAGCAGCCATAAAGACAAAAACAACCGATCCTCCTTCGCGAAACAAGTGAAGAACACACACACTTGTCAAACGTACACCAAATTTTCTTCAGAAATATCACCGCTTCATTATTTCTCTCATACTATATAAGCTCTCCAAAACCCTAGACAAACCAACCAAACTAAAATCCCATCTGTTTCCACTTAAGTTTGTTCATCATTTTTCAAGAGTTTGAGATCCTATCATCATTGTCACGAGTATGGAGGTGATGAGCCTGAGGAATATTGGGTTCGACCCCAACAACCTTCTCGAGACCCTGCACGACTTGCTCGACACCTCCGACGAGCAGAATCATCAGAGCCACCACGCCCCTTCGCGGCAGTACGTCCGCGAGGCCAAGGCCATGGCTGCCACGCCCGCGGACGTGAAGGAGACTCAAAATGCCTATGTATTCGTGGTGGACGTGCCTGGGCTGAGGCCGGATATGATTGATGTGAAGATTGAAGACGACAACGTGCTGGTGGTGGGTGGGGAGAGGAGGAGAGAGAAGGAAAAGGATCAGGGGGTCAAGTATTTGAGGATGGAGAGGAGGCTCGGGAAGTATTTGAAGAAGTTTGTGCTGCCGGACAATGTAGATATTGAGAAAATTTCGGCCGAGTGTCAGGACGGGGTGCTGACTATCACTGTGGTGAAGAGGCCGCCGCCAGAGCCTAAGAAACCCAAGGCTATTCAAGTGCAAATAAGCAGCGGTCAAGGCGACCGCCAAGGAGGCGTACATGTCGAAAGCGGTGGTCAAGGATGGCAAGGTGGTACCCAAGGGAAATATGGTGGGCAAGGCAGCGAACAAGGTGGGGGGCAAGGTGGTGGTCAAGAATCACAAGGCGGACGCCTAGGTGGTGGTCAAGAATGGCAAGCCGGCCGCCAAGGTGGAGGCCAAGGTGGCCAAGGAGATCAAGGGAATGCTGGGGCAGCGCGGCGCGTCCTCCCATGATCAGTTTATGTGAGGTCGCTACTCACGAGTGGAGATCGTATATATATGTATGTATGAGTAAATAAAGGTGCATGCATGCGTGCATCATTCTCCTTGGCGTTCTGTGTCTGTAATTTCGTAATCTTTGGTCGTGTCTAGCTTTTATGCTCTTGCCTTTTGTGTTTTTCACAAAAATAAGAAGAGAAAGGGAAAGAAGCTTGGCTGTGATACTGAGCATGTTTGGAACATATACATATATTGGCATCGCCAGACAAGACCCAAATAACACAACCATATTAAGCACTATGGAACATCAACTTGAATCAGTTCGCCGGATTTTGTTTCATGCGGGGTTAGCAAACTAGATGAAATTTGATCGTTCAGTTGGGGCTTGGGAAGTTGATATCTTGGGTAGTTTGGACCAAACTTCAGACGAGGCTTGGATTAAACTTTAGGGTAAACTGTCGGTTTACCCCCTGAACTTTTACCTCACTTTCGATTTCCCCCCTGAACTTTTCTATTGGAAAATTAAGGACTCAAACTAATTTTTTTAGCCAATTTGCCCCCTACCGTTAGTTTTTCATATATTCCATCCATATTTCCGTTAAGTGAGACCATGTGCATAACATGTGAGGATAGTTAAGTCATTTCAATTTAAAAATGATTAAAAACTGAAAATAAATAATAATAATAATTTTCCCTCTATTTTTTCCCGCTAATTCCTATCCTCAATTTTAATTTTCCCTCTCATTCCTATGCATGAGAAATAACATATGATGTTATTGTCTTCATAAGTAGCTAAGTTAATCTTTTTTTTGAAGCATGTACTACCATTTTTATTTTCTCTAACAAATTAATAATTTGACAAATGCTCATGGTGTTATTGTCTCCAAAGCAGTGCATTAATATAAGAAACATGTCCATAAAAAAGACTAGGGTTTCTTATATTAATGCACTGCTTTGGAGACAATAGCACCATTAGCATTTGTCAAATTATTAATTTGTTAGAGAAAATAAAAATGGTAGACAATAACACCATATGTCATTTCTCATGCATAGGAATGAGAGGGAAAAATAAAATCGAGGATAAGAATTAGCGGGAAAAAATAGAGGGAAAGTTTTGTTTTTTTTATTATTTTTAGTTTTTTAATCATTTTTAAGAGTGAAATAACTTAACTACCCTCACATGTTGTGCACATGGTCTCACTTAACGGAAATATGGATGGAATATATGAAAAACTAACGGTAGGGGGCAAATTGGCTAAAAAAATTAGTTTGAGTCCTTAATTTTCCAATGGAAAAGTTCAGGGGGGAAATCGAAAATGAAGTGAAAGTTCAGGGGGTAAACCGACAGTTTACTCTAAACTTTACTACTCACACTTGCCATCTAGTAGTACGTACTATCTAAGATAGGGTCTTCCAATGCATCATGTGGGTTTCATTTTCAATAAAGAGATGGTGTACGAATAGTATTGTATGGTCGGCCCTGAAGGTAGTCCATGTAAGCGTCCGCTCCTAATAAAAGACCGTTACGATTCAAGAACCCAACAAAATCCTTAGGAAACCATAATTTAATTTACAATCTTAAATCCCTAAAATATAATACCTTGAAACTGAAAAAGATCGTCAGCTGAGCTCGGCTTTCATGCAAATCTGAGTCAGACAGAGGAGATGATTGATTTGTCATTTCGAGTTGTTCGACTTCGTTGTCCATCCCCTCGAGTTCGACAAAGAGAGACTGACTTCGTCATCCGTCCTTTCGAGTTCGACAAAAAGAGATTGAGAATCGAGAGGGATAAAAGTCAGTCTGGACTCTGGGAGAAAGAGATTGAGAGGAAGGACTGTAGGAGAGAGAGATCGAGAGGGAGGACTGAGGAGATGTGTCTGTGAGATTTGAGTCTGGGAGAGTCTTTTAGAAAGTGAGGTGATGTGTGTTGTGTGTGTGAGATTTGAGGGTGTGTGGGCCGAGGGCCTCTTCAGAAAATTGGACTTGGCACAATTGGCAACACATTGGCCTTTGGGCTTACAAATTAGGTTTAGAAAATAATACCCAAAACAGATAATAAAATAAATTAAAAATTAATTTAATTAATTCAGTTCGGTTCGGTTCGGTTTCTAGATCATTGAAATCGAAACCAAACCAAAAGAATTCTGTTCAGTTCGGTTTTTTCAATTATGTTCTGTAATTTTCGTTCGGTTCGATTTTTTCGGTTTCGGTTCAATTCGATTTTCAATTTTTTTTCAATTTTTGATTTTTTAAACTCACTCCTACCCCTAGTTCATGTTGGCCTAGGATTTTTTTTTTTTTATGATTATTACACCATCACCCAATATTACTATCAACGCTAATAGGTATGTTAACGTATTATATTAAATACATTTTACATGTTTTATATGATTTTAAAACCTGTAGCAACGGGAGGGCACTAACACTAGTATATACTAAAAGAGAAAACGAGTTACTGTTCATTCTACAGTGTTCTTTATTTTTTCCCTTAGGTGCTCTTCAAATCTAACCTTTTTTTTGTGAATAACACAGTAAAAAGACGATTTAGCCCTGTTGGTGTCCAGTAGAAGTCTCCCTAGTTATTCCATAGAAACCACGAGAAAACTCAGCTGCCCACGCGACCATCATCGCTAGACCTTCGGCTTCGACTTCATCATCTCGAAATCCCTATTCTCTCACTCATCTCTTCGCTTTGTCTCTCACTTTTGAGGTACCTACAGCTACTTCTGGAGTCAGAGTTGATGATTATTTATTTATTTCAAATTTTCCTCAAAATTTCAGTTTTTGCTTTTACGATTTTGATTTTCTGAAATGTTTTCATTGATTCTTGATTGTAATAGGTTATGAAGGGTATTCTTATCTCTTAGAGCTTCTGTGGTGGGTGGGATTTATTACCGGTAAGTATTTATGTTTGTTTTTTTTTGTTTTGTTTTTGTTGTTCTATATTTTAATCGTTCAGAGCCAAATTTCTGCATTTTCTAAATTTTAGTCATATGAAATTTTAGTCATTGTCCTTATCATTGACATTGTTTCTAAATTTTGGTAATTTTATCATCAGTCATGAGTTTAAATATATAAAACTGAAAGCAAGTGTTTGTTGCTTAGTTCAGAATGCAAGAATGTTTTTCAGTTTTTAATGTGTTTATATATTTTCTTTGTATATATTTTATTTTTGGTTGGCATTTTATTGTTCAAATCAGAAAAGAGTTTTAATTTTTTTACTTAATTTTCAGTTCAGACCAAATTTTTTTTTTGATTTGATTCTGTTCTGTGGAATTTTTTTGAGAAGTGGTATGAAGTGTTAGGTGGTTTGCTGGGTCCTTACCAGAAACACATTGGTTCTCTTTTTCTTTACTCTGGTGTATGTTTATCTGTTAATGTAAATTTTGGTTATGTTGGATTTTTTATCAATTTGACTCTCCAATATATGTTTCTTTTAATTCAGCATTCAATTTTTCAGGTCTGTTGCTGTTGTCTTTGTTTGGGGTGGCAATAGCCACAATTGGTAAGCCATTTTTTCTTATCTTTTCCCTATATGTTCCCCCCTTGATAATTTACATCACTGCTTCAGCCTTTTGAAATGGATAATTTGGTTTGGTTTACCTTTTTCTGTTCAACTCTTCTGATTCAGTGGTAGATTATCTAATAATAACTGAGATCTTCCACTGAAGATTGAATTAATTCAATTTGGATAAATGAATGAGAGTTTTATATGATTGTATTATTGTGTTTGATGAATGATTGGAGAGTTGGGAATGGTTTCTTGCTTATATTTTTCTTAGGTGTGTACTAAATTGGATGTTGGTTTGATTATTTCCGAGCTCTTCATGAGTTTCGATACCCAATGGTGTCTTTTTTTGCAGAATTATTTGATTAAATTTCTGGGTTATTAATTTTATGTTCTTTGATTGAATTTGTTTTCATTCGATGGGTTAGTGAGCTAAAACTACAATAGGGTTCTTTTGGTTTTTGGGTTGTTCTTAATTTTTTTGTTTCCTGGTTGAATTTGTTTTAATTCAATGGGGTTAGCCTGGATGGATCTTTTGGGTTGTGTATGTTTAATCATATGTTATATTCTTTCCAGTGCTATAGAGAGCCCCAGATTCTTTAATTCAAGAACTTGGTTCGGTTAAGAATATTAATTTAGCTATCAAAGTGGAAAGATATAAAGATGTAGATATTTTATCAGGACTTTATCACTACTTTCGTAACATATAAAATTACTAAGTCGTGTTACATTTTCCCTTCTATTTTTTTTTCATCAATTTGCTCTGCCAGAACCCTCCTCCTATCTTCCTCCACCATTGCCCCAATTTTGTCGAAAACAGCAGCAGCAGCCTCTGGCTCTCTTGGCTCAGGATGTGAGGTATGTGAACAAACTGATTCGCCTAAGTTTTTTAATCTTAATAAGTTTCACATGAGTTTTATGAACCCTGCATTTACTTTGAAAAATGGTTAATTTTTCAGTATTTAGGAGACCATTTGTCAAGGAGCTCCCATGGGAGCTGCTCCATGCTCTCGCTTCCTTCTCGATTACCTTCGTTGTGGTTGGAAAAGCTACAGACTGCAATGTAAGTCCAAAGTTGATCGAAAGGTTTTAGAAATTTTGAATTTTTTGATGATTGGTTGTCAAAATTCTGATTTAGTTGTCAATTGTTTTTTTTTTATGTTTGGATTAAAACCTCTCACGTATGCTCTCTAGGACCGGGTACGATTTTTTTCACTTTTCGTTTGTTTCTCGGAAATATTTAGGTCTAGAAAGTGTGTAGAACTGTAGAAGTGAAAAAAAATCTCAATCTTTAAATTGTCCAGTATACATAGAAATTGAATATTAATCCTAGTTTCCGCATTCCTCTTTAATTCAAGATCTTCGACTCCCTTGAAGGGTAAACACCAACAATAACTACTACACCTTAGGTACAATTAAACAACCACATCTCCTAAATTTGGATTATTTGTGCATTTTTTGTTCTTAATAGGGTTGTGATTCTGGATGCTGACATGATTATCCACGGGCCGATTGCTCCTTGGGAACTTACTGCTGAGAAAGGCAAGCCTATTGCAGCGTATATAGGGAATATTACTACTACTATTTTTCTCTTTCATCAGACGAGCATTGTTTTGCAATCGCATTCTGTATTTTGATTTTCTTGTCTGTCTAGGATTTTTATTTTTTTGAGAGATTTAAATTGATGTTCCAACCCCATATGCCTCCTTTAAATTCCGAATAATTATATAAAGCACCACTTAATATTAATAGAGTGATTTAGTAGTTCGTAATTTTAGTCCGAATCTCGTAAATGATTGCGTTTTGAAAAGAAATTTGTAAAAACTAGAAAGTAAAAAAAACACATAGAGTTTTGAACTGGTACCTCCTTGTTATTTTCAAACAACATAAACCATCACTTTTGGTTAAATTTCTTGATCATTTTGTCAAATTTTATAAATTTATACTCTTATTAAAAGAAATTCATAAAAATTGAAAAGTAAATAAACACGCAATGTTTTGAACTCAGAACCTCTTGTTAATTTTTACAACAAAAACCACTATTCTAGGTAAATTGTTTGGTCATTCAAAAAAAAATTGTATAAATTTATACTCTTATGAAAGCATTTATGAAATTACCCCCGTGATAATTTTTGGACCTGGACGGTCACCCAGCCCACACTAAGGCTGGGTTGGCCCTGGTCTTTTCTCTAATCACATTTGTTTATTATGTGGTTGTTGTCATGCCACTTCTTAAATGCTTCCAAATTCCAACCTAAAATAATGCATTGAATAGCTGTAATCACCGCCAAGAAGTCATTGTTATAATTGGATAGTCTTTTTCCTTTCTTGTTTGTTTCTTTCCTCTTTTCCTCTCTCTTTCATTCCACCTTCCCAGCCGACATCTAGAAGGCATCAAGTAGGTATATACTTCGCGACTATTGATTTTTTAGTATTCGTTTTTGTTACCATTTCGTTTTTCATTCTTATTTAAAAATCGATCAAGGAAACATATAACTAAAATAAGTTGTTGATTTTTGTTCATTTACAGTAATATTTAATTTTTTTTTTCTCTCTTAAATAAAGGCCGCCTCTTCGAGAGAGAGAGAGAGAGAGAGAGAGAGAGAGAGAGAGAGAGGAGTTTTTGTATAAATGGTAGTGATTGCAGTGTATTAGTTTTTATTTTTGAACAAAATTTTTGTTAGTTGAATAGTCCCTATCTCATCAATCAGTGGAGCCTCATAGACTTGCTTCTCATACATCTTACGACACACTCACATAACAAATGCAAATAATGTCGAGATTCGTAATCAACGACCATCATTAACAACATCAATACTTCCTCTCAACTTGAATTTTACAACATGCATAAAACATTATATGTGAAAGTTTATCACAAAATACCTTGGTATAATTAGAAGTGAAAACCACACAATATACAAGTCATCTTTAATTTTGACAAATTTGATGTGAGTTTCTTGTACATTTCAACATGTACAGGGATGGACTTCAAGCAGATATTGTGGCATTTATCTCAACGGGATTTATGATAACCCCAAACGGTTTGAGTTTGCTTATGAAAAAATATGTAGGCGACTTTGTTATGCCTAAAAATGATGGTCATAATTTTAAAGGGTTGGCTATCTGCTGCATTTGCTCGTCCATCTAAAACAACTATGTCATTCACTAGCTTCATTTGAAATCAGTTTCTTTGAACATTCTATATCTCTCCAATATTGCATACAGAGTATCTGAAAGAAGCCTCTCCCCTCGATCGATCCTGCAACAAAACTTGCCGAAGCACAAATTATTAACAAATGATGAGTGTTACAAGAATATAGATTACAATTGATGGAAAAAAAAATATTAAGATATTAATCTCAACTAATTAATTACTGCTACACTTCTAAACTAGAAACAAATAGTTAACCACTTGCTAAGGAATCCAAATAAGATTGTTTCTTACATTAGCTAATTAGCTCCAATAAGATTTGAGGTCGTCAGTACTTACATTTATAATCATATCGTATTTTAGACGTGAAGATTTCTTACAAACTTGCCGAAGCACAAAATTTCTAAATTAAATTTTATAAGGGAAAATTAGGTTCACATCTTTATTTTTGTTACTCCATTGATTAAAATCCTATTCATTTTCAATTTTTGATCAAGGTCCTTCGGTATTAATAACATCATTAATTATTTGAATAATAAAATATTTTTATTTTTAAATATATTCCTTTAATGTTAAAAATGTTACAATTAGTATATTTATATTTATGGCTAAATTTTTTATCATATATTTTTATTTTTAGTTTGTAGCTATTTTTAATTTGCAAATATTTTTTAATTTGTACCAATTTTCTTTTCATTTTTAATTTGTACCGATATATTAGTTTCTTTTTGTGCCCATATTTTTTAAAGTTTTATTTATGTTTGTACCCATGTGTATACCGTTACGTGACATTGTATATTTAATCAATAATAGAACAATTACATATGGTATATTTATGTTTTATGCCTAAACTTTGTATCATATATTTATATTTTTAGTTTGAACCCACTTTTAATTTGCAACATTTTTTTTTAAAATTTGTAGTATTTTCTTTTTAGATTTATTTTGTACCCATGTATTAATTTCTTTTAGCGCCTATATTTTAAAAAATTCATTTGTATTCATAATTTTTAATCTTTTATCTGTACCCTAATTTATTTCTAATATACCCATTCTTCTTTATTAATGTACCACTTTTTTTAACACTATGGATACATTCTTTTGCCATTTATTATTTATTATTTTTACATAGTTTTTATTCATTTATTCAATCAAAATATTTGAATTTTTTTATTGTAACCGTTTCTAATAGTATTATAATGAGGGATTTTAAATTTATAGGATTATAAATCTCATAAAATATCAAACAATTAATGTCAAAACTATAAAAATATAAATATTAATTGTAATATAATGAGGTGTACAAAGTCAAGGGACTTTGATTAAACTTTGAATACTATTAAGGTTTTCATCAAAGAATGTTAAAGATTAGAGACCGCATCCAAAATATCCCATTTTATAAACTAAATGATATGATTGTTGATGATTAGATTATTATTTACGTGTTGATTAACGTACTTATTTCTTATTAATAAACATCATTTAATTTACAAATTTAATTTATTTTAATCTTCCTAACATTATCATTATATAATATAATATTATAAATGAATCGGTAGCTAGCGCATGCAGTTTCGTGCTAGTTTCTTTCCTCTTTCCCCCATTACGCCAAGAAAGTCATTGCATGCAAGTTGCAGCGAGTACTCCCAAGTGCAAGTCATATCAATAGACACTGTTAGCTCCCTTGTGCTTGTAAAACATTGTCTATATGTATAATACAAGTTTAATCCTTAATAGTTAATACAATGATTTTGCAAGTTTTTAGCAGTGGAGCCTAACACTGGTCCATTTGGGTGTATTATGTGGTCCATCCCTATTTAGGTGTATTATATTAGAGCATCACTTAATAATTTATATAATGATCCAATAGATTGTTGTTCTAAGTTTGAATATTATAAATGGCTGAATCATTTACCAACCATCTTGAATAATTATTTTTAATTATCCTTTAACATTTGGGTCTATTTTTCTAATCATTTTTGTTTATTATGTGGTTGTTCAACCTAAATAAATTGCATTACTTATAGTTGATAGCTGTAATCATGCCAAAAAGTCATTGTTATAATCTATTTAATAGTCTTGGCTAAATAGCCAAAATGGTCCCTGAGATTTGCATAACTCATCACTTGGGTCCCTGAGATTCCAAATCAATAAAAGTGGTCCCTGAGATTGTCCACCATCCATCATTTTGGTCATTCCGTTAAAAACTCCGTTAAATGTCCCGAAGCTCTTGGCCGGAAGTTTGGGCAATTTTCAAAGCTTCGTAACTCAATCGTTTCTTAACCAAATTCAACCCATAATATATCAAAATGAAGATAGGAAAGTGTAGAATAAGATTATACCTATTTCGAAGCCCAATGGTTGCTGGAGATGGCCGAAAAATAGCCTCAAAGTTGACTGGTCCGAGCAAAAATTAGAAAACTCACCGGAAACTGGGTAAACTTTAAACGTTCATAACTTCTTCAATACTCAACGAAATCAAGTGATTCAAGAACAAAAATCATATTTCTCAACGAGAAGAAGAGAATGATACCTTTTTTTATAGCTAGATTGCCGTATTTGGGCCGGAAAACGGCTCGAAAGTGGCTAACTCAAGACCAAGACAGCCACTTTCGGGCCGTTTTCCTGCCAAACCAAGGCTAGTTAGCCGTAAAAAAAAGGTAACATTCTCTTCATCTCATCGAGAACTATGATTTTTGTTTTTGAATCACTTGATTTCGTTGAGTAGTGAAGAAGTTATGAATGTTTAAAGTGTACCCAGTTTCTAGCGAGTTTTCATGTTTTCCCTCGGACCAGTCAATTTTGAGGCTATTTTCCGGCAATCTCCGGCAACCATTGGGCTTCCAAATAGGTATAATCTTATTCTACACTTTCCTATCTTCATTTTGATATATTATGGGTCGAATTTGGTTAAGAAACGATTGAGTTACGAAACTTTGAAAATTGCTCAAACTTCCGGCCAAAAACTCCGGGACACTTAAAAAGTTTTTAACGGAAGAACCAAAATGATGGATGGTGGACAAATTCAGGGACCACTTTTATCGATTTAGAATCTTAGGGACCAAAATGATGAGTTATACAAATCTCAATGACCATTTAGCCAATAGTCTTTGTTCTTTCGTGTTCATTCATTTTCTTTTTTCCTTTCTCTTTCACTCCACGTTCCCAGCGACCTCAAAAAGGCATCAAGAAGGTATATACTTCGCGACTACCCAGTTTTTAGTATTCGTTTATGTAACCATTTCGTATATTATTTTTATTTAAAAATCGATCAAGGAAAGATATAGCCAAAATAATTTGATGATTTTTGTTCAGCTTACGCTAATGGTAGTTTTTTTTTCTCTCTCTTAAATGGTAGCCAATGGTAGCGAAGTGGCTGAAGAGTCCCCATCTCATCAATCAGTGAAGCCTCATAGACATGCTCCTCATCATATATCCCTTTTTTTACTTTGTTAATAATTTTTTTAATTTGTGGTTTATTACTATATGGCATATGCTTAAAATTACGGACCCAATTTACATATATATTGCGTAAGAGTTGAATAGCTAGCTGTTACTACTCACGGCCAAGAAAGTCATTGCAAATTGCAGCCAGACCAAGTCCGTCATATGAAAAGACACTGTCGGATGTATTGTATGCCTCATTTGCCTCATTGCAATTTTAAAACTCTTTTCTCTTTTCCAAACGAATGATTTAAAACTTTTAATGTCATCTTGTCTTGGACCCAAAACTGAACCAATCCAAACCGCACCCAGCGCTATCTTTGATGCTCTTGTTGCTAATGTGAGGACAATGCAATATGCTTGGTTTTGTCTCATTTTGTTTGTTTGATCAATATAAGCGTCATTATCTTCATGAATAGCTGTAGGAACATCGCAAATGCAAGAAAGTTGGCAAGTACTTCATTTGATGTATTCTAGTCAAGTAAGGTAACAGTAATAAACCTAAAATTTAATCCCCCCCTTTGGTTTACCTTGATAAACCTTTAACCTAATACAAATCCCAACCCGAATATCTTGCACTTGAATCTTTCTCTCTGAAAAAAACACATCTTGCAAAACCAATTAAACTACTCCGCAAGAATATCAAAAATAAATCATCAATTAATGCAATAATATAAGCAACAATAAATCCAAAATTCCTTTCTCTTTTTGTTAAGGAGTGGTCATTACTATAACCCTGGACTACTACTGAGCGACTTGAAGATCAAGCTAACAAGGCAAGACATCATCTTCCTTTTAGTGTCAAAGATGTGGGACCTTATAACAAAGGAATAAGAATAAAAAAGGTCATGAAACTTATGCTTGATTATCCTTTCACGTTTGGATCTTTTCTCGACCCACTTTTTTTTTGTTATGTAGTTGTTGCCATGCTTATTCGCAAATACTTTCCCAATTTTAACCTAAAAATAATAGGCATTGTTGATAGTTGAATAGTAGTAATTACAACCAAGAATCTTTTGGATGGTTTTTGTGTTTTCATGTTCGTTTCTTTCCTCTTTTCCTCTCTTTCTCTCTCTCTCTCTCTCTCCCTCTCTGCACCCTCCCGGCCGGCAATATATCATTTCTCAAGTCCCTACGCCAACATTATTATATTATAAACTTTTGTTTTTGTTGAATGAAGAAAGGTTGACTTGGCTTCTGTAATTAAGTATCATCGGTTTGGTAACACAAACATAACCGCTGCCATTTTTTCAGTCGTGATCTGAAGCATTGCAGTGCCAAACAGTGGATACCGCCATGACAGCCCTTGAAGCCTCCTCTTCATCCTCCTCCAAGTCAAAACTTTGGAATCACGACATGTTCTTCAGCTTCAGAGGCGAAGACACTCGCAAGGGCTTTACAGGCCACCTCCACGCGGCATTCAAATACAAGGGATACAAGGCTTATATGGACGAGGATGATCTAAAAAGAGGGGAAGAAATAAAAGAGGAACTGTTCCGGGCAATCGAAGAGTCGAGGGTCTCTATCATTGTCTTCTCAAAGAGGTATGCGGATTCAAGTTGGTGTCTTGACGAGCTGGTGAAGATCATGGAGTGCAGAGCCAAACGGGGGCGACATGTTTTTCCAATATTCTATCACGTTGATCCTTCGCATGTCAAGAAGCAGAATGGAGATTTAGCCGAAGTATTTAAAAAGCACGAAGAGGGCATTGATGAAGAAAAAGATGACAAGAAACATGAATCCAAGAAAGAAAGACAAGGATTGTCTGCACTCTAATTTTTCATGTTCTTCTGTTTTGTGTGGTCATCATTAAGTTATGTTAATATTTTATATTATTTTTTTATAAAGATAACAAGATAAAAATAAATAATAATATAAAATGTTGACGTGGTTTAACCGTGACTATACAAACAATAAGGCATAGAAGGACATGAAAAATTAGAGAGCAGAAAATCCTTGTCCAAGAAAGAAAGGGTAAAGCAGTGGAGAGAGGCTCTTACAAAAGCTGCAGATTTGTCTGGCCACCATCTTCAAATCACTGACAATAGGTAATCATTCACCTGCTTTTCAAGATTTTAAACATTTTAGTAGACAATTGTTAGACGAGTGAGTATTGTTAAAATGTTCCACATCGATCGTATTAATGAGAAAATAAGAGTTTAAATATTCTAATCCTACTCCAACTATTACAGAGATCTTTTGTGATAAAACCTCACATCTGACGGATTGTGCAGGTGGTAATTACCAAGTTGGGAATAATATCAGTGTTATAATATATATACAAACGCACATGTACATGTATATAATATATATAATTATATATATGACACTTGCATTGTATATATAGGGAAGGACTTCTTGGGGATTTGGTGGCATTGTCCTCCATGGGAATTAGGTTCCTGATTGGTTTCAATCTAGCAACGATGGCAGTAAAGTCAATTTTGCTATTCCCCCTGAGTGATGATCGTAATTTTGAAGGGCTGACTTTGTATTGCATTTACGACGAATACGATATCGATAATGACTATTTTCCTCTTGCCATTACCGTTATAAATAATACTAAGCGTACTGAGTTGCGGGCCTGCATAAGCTTAGAATTTTTTGATGTGGATATAGAGACCATTCTTCCAAAGGGCCTTTGGCAGGGACAATTATCCAACGATAAGCTCAATTTGCAAGGCGGAGATGAAGTTGAAGTTGAAATAGTTATTGCAGAACCTAATTATCCTAGGTCAGTGAAGAGAATAGGGGTTAATCTAGGATGGGAGAAACCTTTGAGGGAAAATGTGCATGATCTGGACAAAGTTGGTTATATTTATGAGCCATATCCAGCTCGGTTCGGTAGGACCAAGCCATGACGCATCTGCTAATAATCATCCCAGTAATCAAATGATAATTACTACAGATTACAGAAATGGAAAAAGGCAAAAATTTCAAGTGTAAGCATCATCCCAGATCAGTTCTATGGTGAGGCACGATCAAGGCGCTGAGGCATCGTCATCATCACATATCTGAGTCAGATCACAATCAGTTCGTCAAACGCCTGTTTTGTTTTTCGCTTTCCTAGTTCAATAATGAAGGCAAGTCCATATTTCATACTTTTTTTCAGATTCCTATGATTGTTTTCAATAAATAGTTGTTTTGAATTTTGAAGATATATTGCATGTAGAAACATTTCAACATTACAACAATCAATATATAAGACATTCATCCAAATATTTGACAAATACTATTCAGATTCGCACAAATACTTGCCCTCCTTCCACTACATATTCCAGGAATTTACTTTTAAGGTTAGAAAATGAATGATAGCTCAAGATGCCCGTCAATAGTTTCTACTGCTTTTTCATTAATCTTGACTTGCCCTGACATGTTAGCAGAAGATTGACTCTACATTTTAGTAGAAGGCTTATTACCTTTTCTACTACCTTTGCAGTCGAAATCAGTGAACAAATCAAAGTGTAAAGACATTGGTCTACTCTCCACCCCTTCCCCACAACTAATTGTTATGAACCCAAAATGTAATTGAGGTTTATGCTTTAATTGAATTGTTAAGAATTGTTAAATATGCCAGCTGGCGTTTTAAAAAGTAGAGTCTGTTTAAAAGGAGCCCAGCTCCCTCAAACGTGGCAGATCAGAATTTACAACAAAGAAATTAAATACAAAAATATTTGGAGCTTTGCTCCTTCATCTCTCCTGCCCTCTTCTTCCATAGCTTTCTTGTGCTACTTGCAGGTTGATTAAGGGAATTGAGAATTGAGTCTTATCAATGGTATCATCCTTCTCGAATCCTGGTTTCCCTCTTGTGCACGCCCACCCGACCCGTCTTCCTGCCATGGATGCACGCCTCTCCGCTGCAATCGATTCATTTGAAGCTTCGATGCGTGCTGCGATCCGTGATGCGATCCGCGAAGCTATGGATTCTGCACTCACTGCCATTCACAAGGCTGTGAATCCTGTACTCGCAGCAATCCACAGGGACCTTGCTCAGTTACACCGTGACTTGGCTCTCGATGTTGAGGGAGATTTTGATCTAGCCTCGATGTGTTCCGTGGAAGCTGAATCAATCGAGGTCGGTCACCAAAAACCTCACAACAGAGACAACAACCCACTGCGAATTTCGTCGACAATCCACGACCATTTCATTCCGCCATTGCTCTCATCTTCACCGATGTTGCGCGCACTGGCAACTTCGGCCGTCAAGCCACAATCGAACGATTCCGCTGCAGCCATAGTTTCTTTGCCGGAATCGAAGAGAGTTATTCATGCTTCGACGATGACCTTTGCTCCGTGGCTACTCCGAACACACTTCTTCTTTGATACTACGAAAACTGGAGCTGAGGTAGTTCTCTATTTGCGTTTCATTATAACAACTTTGGACGTTATATTTCCTTCTCTTTTAACTGATAACTATAGTGCATTTCGGAATGATAAATATGGTTGGATAAATTGGTATCTTGTGGGTAAATTTGTGAAGAAGAATTTGTTTGCATTGCATCTGTTTGATGAATTGCCTAAGAGATGGAGAGAAAACAATATGGCAATAACTGAGTCGATGAAGGAAAGGTTTTCCAATAAATACTTCCCATCTGATCCTTCCAACAACCATTCAATCCCACAAACCATTTTGTTCTTGCGAAAATTATGTCGAACAAACTGTGAAGAGCAGGGGAGAGCTGCTGCCAATACCTATTATCAGCTGCTTCCTTCTCAAAGTGACAACAATGTGAAGCTTATTGTTCTTGATCGGCTGACTGAGCTAAAGTCTTCTCATAGAGAAGTAGTAGCTGATATGTTCCTGGATATGCTGAGGGCACTTTCTAGTCATAATCTTGACATCAGGAGGAAGACCCTAGACATTGTTTTTAGCTTGGTTACTTGCACAAATATCAATGAGCTTGTTCTTATTTTGAAAAGGGAAGTTGTCACGGCTCATACTGGAGAGCTAGAAAAGAATGGTGAATACAGGAAGATGCTTATTCAGGCTATTCACTATTGTGCAATAAAGTTCCCAGAAGTGGCGAGCACATTGGTACATCTGTTGATGGAATTCTTAGGAGGCAGCAATGTTGCTTCTTTTGTTGATATGATTGTTCTTATCCAAGTAATAATAGAAACCAACCCTAGAGTAAAGGTATCTATAATAACAAAGCTATTAGACACTTTCTACCAAATCCGAGCATCACGGGTTTGCTCTTCCGGCCTTTGGATTTTTGCAGCATGTTGCACGTCACTTCCTGAATTTAAAGGTGGAACTGCATCAATTAAACAGTGCCTAAGCGAATTGCCTTTTCTCTCGGTTTCGGAAGAAGAAAGTAATGATTCTTCACAAACGGTTCAGCAAGTAAACTCCATGACTGTGTCTTTTAAAAGACCTACTATTCTTGCTGATGGAACTTATGCCACACATCATGCTGCATCTGGAATTGCTTTCTCTCCTCCTACCCTTTTTCAAGGATCTGTGGCATCTAGGAACTTGAGATCCCTGCTTCTCACTTGTGACTTTTTCCTTGGGACAATTGTTGCATACCCTCTGATCAAGCTTGCCCTGAGATTGGAAGGGGTCCAACCATCAAAAGTTGAAGTGAATAAACCATTTTCACGAGCACTGTTGATTGTTGTTTCTATGTTGCAATTAGGACAATCTCCAGTTCTTCCACATCCAATTGACAATGATTCTTATGCCGGGATGGTCCTCTGCATAAGATTGCTATGCAATACTGGTGATGAGGTCAGAAAAATATGGTTAAAATCTTGCTGTCAAAGTTTTGTTGACATGCTTTCAAAAAACAATTAAGGGAGACAAAGGAGATAAAAGCAACGGCTCAGATTTCTCAAGCACAACCGGTTCGATTATTACTACATGGAGCTATTTCAGGTGCGCTTTATGCAGGACACATTCATAGCTTGTTACAGATGGAATGCATTACTGAATCATTTCTTCGAGGTTTGTCATGGTTGCTCCGATTCATTGATAAATGGATACATAGCATGGATCTTGAAAATCATAAGCTCAATCCTCGTATTGAACACTATGGATGCATTGTGGATCTTCTTAACCGTGCTAATCTGTTAAATGTGGCTGAAAAGTTCATCAGAGATATGCCTACTCAACCTGATGTGGTTATATGGGGATCTCTGCTTTTTACATGTAGGATTTATGGGAACATAGAATTGGCAGAGTTGGTTGACAAAAGGACTGGGGTGTTTGAACCCCAAGGTGCTTATGTTAATTCACCAAGAGACGCTGGAAGTTCCTTAATTTGGGATGTTGGTCATGGTCACCAAGATGCAGTGGAAGTTCTATTACAAAACAATGCTAATCTTGTTGCTGAAAATAATGACAGTATTACACCTTTGCAGTCATCTGTTTTGGTTGGTTCACTACCATGTTTAGAATTATTGGTTCATATTGATCATCCAAATATGCGTATCACCCCCTGGGAAGTTGCACTGATATTGGGACAATGGGTTTCTGATATTAAAAAGGACACAAAAATGCTAGTTTACTGTGCTTTGATCAGATTGCTATAGGACAAAGACCTATCTGTAAGGTTGGCAGCTTGTAGGTCTCTCTGTTTGCATAGTGAAGATGCTAGATTTTCAGAATGAGAATTCATCAATCTTTTCCCTATCTATTGGAATTCATGCCTTAAGTTGATTAAGGAAGATCAGGAGCTTGACTCGAAGAAGGCTTGGGAGGAATCTGCCAATGAGTGCCTTTCTGCAGATTCAACTTCTTGTTGCTTTGAGGACAGCAGGTAATTGGGAGGACTTCCACAATTCCATTTTTAAGCCTTGAGGACAAGGCTAATTTTCAAGGGGGGAATATTGTTATGAACCCAAAATGTAATTGAGGTTTATGCTTTAATTGAATTGTTAAGAATTGTTAAATATGCCAGCTGGCGTTTTAAAAAGTAGAGTCTGTTTAAAAGGAGCCTAGCTCCCTCAAATGTGGCAGATCAGAATTTACAACAAAGAAATTAAATACAAAAATATTTGGAGCTTTGCTCCTTCATCTCTCCTTCCCTCTTCTTCCATAGCTTTCTTGTGCTACTTGCAGGTTGATTAAGGGAATTGAGAATTGAGTCTTATCACTAAGTGACATAAAACTAAACTTAATCTGTGAATCACTTAAGAAAGTGGGATTAGAGAGACGCCTAAAACTTCTTGTGAAATTTATATTGAGTTTCATGAATAAGTACTTATATCTAGTGCAGCATGGTGTTCCACATAATAATTGTCAAAATTAAATTTTTTGTTAGGGTTGTCCAGTGCAGTGTCGAGAGAATGTAACATATGGGATAAGAAAATAAACAAAATTATTAATTCTCCTACTCGATGTGGATTCACTTCAAGATTGCATACACGAAGACGAAGCACAGTGTTCATCACTAAGTTCTACGAAAGTGCTAGTTTCTTAATATGTTATTATCCTATTTGCCATTGTTTTCCGTAATCTACCTCAATTCATAATAGTTTGGAGACTAAACTGAACATACTCAAAATCCAAAAAGCGATCAATGAAGGAAATCTCTAACTTATTTACATACAAAACACAAGCTGAGCGTTGAGCAAGCATCAAGTAGCAGAAAGTACCTTAGTTTCAGGAACGACATTTCAGGGATTGTTGTGATATGAGAGCACTCCACAGCTGCTACCTCACTGTGGAGAAATTATTAGATGGCACAGCACCACCACGTGGTACTAACAGCTGGTAGTAACCACCAATAAATAAATGACATGTGGCAGAGTAATTATTAAATAAAAATTGATGGCTGGGTTTCCACCTTTCCTAACGCCATTAGAGTTTTCTAATAATTTCTCCCTTTAGTATTCCCTCCTCCTTTTTCCACCAAAACCATAAAAAAAATTCCTTCTGCCTCCCATTTTTGCTTGAATCACATTCCCATTTTGCTTAAATCAAATCCACAAACTACAGTCTTCCTTTTCCACCAAAACCAAAAATTCCCTCCGCCTCCCTTTTTGCTTGAATCTCATCCCCCTTTTTGCTTGAATCAAATCCACAAACTGCAAAAATCAGAAATCTCAGGCTACATATACTGTAATTTTTTGCTTGAATTTTGTTTTATCCTTTTAGGATGTGTTTGTTTGATATCCTTAGCTCTCACTGGATTGGACTAGACTAATAGCTAGTGTAGTCTAGTGTTTGACTCAGCAAAGACTTAGCTTTAATGACGCTAGCTCGAACTCGCCTCGACTCTGGACCTCGCTAATTGGCTCTAACTAATCCCCACCAAAAGTATGGTATTAGCCAGGACTAGATCTCGCTGCTCTCTTGTCTTCTCTATTTCAGTCGCAAGTAGTTCTTCACTGACCGCAACCCCCGTGACTTAAACTCTTAGAACCCGGTACTGATTACCACCCAATGATTGGACGGAAAAAAAGGCGGAGGGAAGAGAGGGAAGGATTTGGATAGAAAAATAAAAGGAAGAGAGAGAATGAGCTAAACGGGAAAATTTGTCATGGTTGCCATTCGAATTGGCAATCCTACGCTTGAGAGGGATGAGTTAAGGTTTCTTTGGGGAATCAAAAATTTGGGAGGCCAACTTTTTTATTCTTTGAGGTGTTGAGTTCGAAATATGGAGCTATCTTTTTAGTCACTAATATTTTTTTCTTTCAAATTACTCCTAATCCATCTTTCAAATGCATATAAAATTATAAAACTTAAGTCTCTTTGCAATTTTTTTTTCTTTCAACTTCACATACATTCTATTTCTATCAAATGTTTAAATCAACTATCACATGGCCTTGAAGATTGTACTCTAAGGTAATAAAAACTTTAAATTTATAGTTTGCTTATCAATAATCCGGTTATTTTAATATTTGATTCGTTAGTGTGATGTTGATGTTAAAAAAAACACAAGAGGAATTTATTATACTCATCAATTAAGTTTTATTGTTCTTCACTCTCAATTTTTTACTCTTGACTGCAAATATTTAGTACATTTGCATTTAAAAATGTGAGACGTATAATATTTAAGTAATGTTTGTATATCTATCTTTTTTTTATATCAAATTTTAATTATATTTGATGTAGAAATATAATTTTTTTTGTATTTGGCAAGGTTTGTTTGTTTTTATTTTTATTTTTTTATTTTAATACCTATGTATAAAGAACCGAGAGTCAAAGAACTTTAGAGCTCTACTTCAAAGGCTCATCTATAACCTCAAATTCTCAGGACTATGTATAGAGAATTGAGAGTCAAAGAACTTTAAAGCTTCACTTCAAAGGCTCGTTTATAGCCCCAAATTCTTAGGATCGGGCCTGACCGTACATTTAACAGAAAGACATCAGTTACGGACTGAACATAAGTTATATACGCACTTGACGCTGGGTGACAAGAAATAAAATAATACTACTTTATTCTTATATTAAAGAACGAGAAAACAGGAATTCATTCCTCATAAAATATGAGAAAATTTTGAAATTTATATAATATTAGAAGAGTTCGTTGAAAAATATTTTTAAAATGGTTAAAAACGATTTGAGTTAAAATATTTTTAAATGAATTCTTAGTTAAGATACAAATACAAGTGAATTCTAGAAAAAGTATTTAAAATGCAAGTGAATCATGTGGGAAACACTTTAAGTGTTTTTGGAATCTAATTTTTTTTAAAGTATTTATATTATTTTAAAAGTATTTCTAAATAAGCCTTAAATGATTATATAGCATCTTTAATACGTGTGGTCTTTTCTATAGAAAGCTTTTTAAATGCTTTTAGAATTCAAAACTATTCTCTAACACTTTCAATAGTTTTAAAAATATTTTCAAATGAGTCATAAATGATTAGATATCATCCTTAATTATGGTCATTGTTCTTTTGAAAATAACGACCAGTTCTTTAATTTATGGAACATATGAGATAGCAGTGCTCGACTAATTTTCGTAATGAAAAAAGTGAAAAATTTTGAGCTGCACACGTTCATATTTTTTTTATTGAGGGTCATATGGTAGAGTTCTGTAGTCTGTAGAACATATTCCATGACGCAGAACATGCCAGAAGCTGAAACTATATTGCTTTGGAACTCAAATATATCTCAACTTTGGATTTCCATGAAGAAAAATAGATCTCCACGTGAGCGGAGTAGGCTTGCCACATCTTCTCCCCATGCATTTGTAATTTTGTACTAGCCATCTACGCATGCCACGTAGACCACCCAAACCTCCATCTCAACCCCACGTAGCAGGGGCATCAGGACAAACCCTATCGATATAATCACAAACACCACCGCTTCACATTTTCCCTCTCTATATAACCTCTCCGAAACCCTAACAAAAACGCACCAAATTTATTTACAGAATACTATATCATCGTTTTCATTGTCGTGGGTATGGAAGTGATGAGCCTGAGGAACTTGGGTTTCGATCCCAACCTGCTGGAGACCCTGCACGACCTGCTCGACATCTCCGACGAGCAGAACCAACAAAGCTACCAGGCCCCCTCTCGCCGGTACGTCCGGGAGGCGAAGGCCATGGCTGCCACACCCGCAGATGTGAAGGAGACTAAAGATGCGTACGTTTTCGTGGTGGATGTTCCAGGGCTGAGGCCGGATATGATTAATGTGAAGATTGAGGAGGACAACGTGCTGGTGGTGAGCGGGGAGAGGAAGAAAGAGAAGGAGAGGGATCAGGGGATCAAGTACTTGAGGATGGAGAGGAGGCTCGGGAAGTATCTCAAGAAGTTTGTGCTGCCGGACAACGCCGATATTGAGAGGATTTCGGCCGAGTGTCAGGATGGGGTGCTGACTGTGACAGTTGCGAAGAAGCCGCCGCCAGAGCAGAAGAAGCCCAAGACTATTCAGATCCAGATAAGCAGCAACCAAGGCGGCGGCCAGGGAGGCAAAGGTGGTCAAGGCTGGGAAGAAGGTGGCGAAGAGGAACGTGGCAAGCAGGGAGGTGGCCAAGGTTGGGAACATGGCAGGCAAGGTGGTGGCCAGGGAGGCGAAGGTGGTCAAGGTTGGGAAGAAGGTGGCCAAAAGGAACATGGTAGGCAAGGCCGTGGGCAAGGTGACCAAGGCGGTGGCCAGGGAGGCAAAGGTGGTCAAGGCTGGGAAGAAGGTGGCCAAGAGGAACGTGGTAGGCAAGGCGGTGAGCAAGGTGGGGAACATGGCAGGCAAGGTGGGCAGAGCGGTGGGGAGCGTGGTGCCGGTGGGTATGAAGGACAAGTTGAAGGGCGTGACAAGTAAGCAGAGGTCCGCTCGCTCTAATGGCAGTGCATGATCTGTTTACATGAGGCTACTATTGAATAGCGGTGGCAGTACGTATATATGTGCATAAAGCATATAAGCATCGTGTTATTTGGTTTTTTGTGTCTGCTGTAATTTCTTATACTTTGGTTATGTTTTTCTTTTAATTTGGTCTTTCATATAAAAAAAAAAAAAAAAAAGAATAAGAAGGAAAGGAAGGTTGGTGTTGTCTTTGATATATTAAGGTTAATATATTGTGCTCTTCCTTTTTGGAAATGTAAAGAACCATTATGTGAAATTAATTACAATATTAAACTGGTTTCCGTAATAACTTGTTTTTTGTCTGCCAATTTAGAGTTTAATATTTTTCAACTGATACGCATAGTTAAAATTCATCACCTTAGAGTTTAATATTTTTCAACTGATACGCATAGTTAAAATTCATCACCTTATTTATTAGGATATCAAAATCACCTATTTTTATCTGCTCATATCTTTTAATTTAGTACTGTTTTTTAGTTTAGCTTTTCCGTCCTCGTCTTACCCAACAAAAAATATGGCAAATGACTAAAGTGGCCCGCCTCTGGTAAAACCTTCCAAAATGTTCTAGACGGTCACCGAAGAACAAAATGGAACCTACTGGAACATCCTACTTTCCCTCCACGTGTCTCCAGAACCTTCCTTATTCCCTTCCTGCTAACCCACGTCATCAACTTCTCCTCCTATAAATACCCAGAACCACCACCATCCTCCGTAACAGTGACCAGATTTCCACTCGACAATTCACAAAAGCCTTCAAATCGAAACCAAAGAGCGAAAATTCCACCCACCAAGAAGCGAAGAATGGACCTCAGAATCCCCGGTTTGGAAGCCCCGCTCTTCTCCACACTTCAGCACATCATGGACGCCGCCGACGACGCCGAGAAGTCCTTCAACGCCCCCACCCGAACCTATGTCCGCGACGCTAAGGCCATGGCCTCCACGCCGGCAGACGTCAAGGAGTACCCGACCTCCTACGTGTTCGTGGTGGACATGCCGGGACTGAAGTCCGGGGACATCAAGGTCCAGGTGGAGGACGGCAATGTGCTTCTGATCAGCGGCGAGAGGAAGCGGGAGGAGGAGAAGGAAGGGGCTAAGTACGTGAGGATGGAGCGGAGGGTCGGCAAGTTCATGAGGAAGTTTGTGTTGCCGGAGAATGCGAACGTGGATGCGATTTCTGCTGTTTGCCAGGATGGGGTTTTGACTGTCACAGTGCAGAAGCTGCCGCCGCCGGAGCCGAAGAAGCCGAAGACAATCGAGGTCAAGATTGGTTGAAACTTTTGAGTGCTGTTTCTGTGATATGGGTTCTGAGAAAAATCGTGCAGGGATTATAACATAAGGGTTTGTGTGTGGATTTCAGGGCTTCGTTGGTGTTTTCTGGAAGTGTTTGTTGTGTTTGTGTTGTGGTATTATAAGCTTGTTGGTTTTTCAGATCAATGAAGCATATTATGTCTTTACTTCCTATTTCAGTCTCTGTTTTTACTTTCCATTTTTTGTTGATCTTTTCATAAAATCGGCTTCAAAAACGCGTACCAACGGAACAAATAACTCAAATAACCAAGCATTTTACGATAATCAAACCGAGTTTGTAATATGAGTGTGTCTGGAATTACGCCATATACGTTGTTCCGTGTCTCAGCATTTTAAACAGATTGAGATGAGGTACTGCCTAATTTCTCAGCCTCTTCGGGGTTCTGTTTGAGCTTATTCGGGTTCCGTTCCGTCATCTTCACCGAGAGATCTTATATTTTGATTTTTGTTAAGACGAATTCATTTGTATTGGACCAGCCTCTTCATAAATGAGTGTAAGGTTAGCCGACATTCACCTCTTTTAGATTCTGCGTAAAGCGAGAGTCTTGTGCACTGGGTACGACGACGAATTCATTTGTAACTAAAGATCTTAGGTTTTGATTTTTGTTAAGATGAATTTGAATTATAGCTTAGGTTTTGATTTTTGTTAAAATGAATTTGAATTATAGCTCAGTGAGGATAATCACATATTTTTCTTTTAATGTAAATAAATTTTTTTTAAAATAAATATCTTTTTAATAGAGAACTTATTTTAGAGTTTTTATTTTTAGTATTATTAAAAGGAGGGATAGGTTCGAATTATTACAATGATTTAAAGGTATTTTCAAATTGAATACTAGAATATTGGATCACCTACATTTTAGTGGTTACTTGTCTTTTGTTGGCTCATTTTTATTATATTTCGATGATTTGTCACAGAGAGTACCATTAGAGTGACTATTTTGTTATTGTTTAATTTGAATTTGAAATACCATAACCACAGGTGCCGAGTTTAATTTTCGTTTGTTTTTTATCGTCTTCATATATTTCTGTTTTTTATTTGGGATTATCTTTTAATTTAGTACTGTTATCTATTTTAACTTTTTGACTCTTTCTCAACAAAATATCTCGTAAATGGCTAAAGAGGCCGCCTCTAGTAAACGCTTCCATAATGTTCTAGACGCTCACAGAAGAAATTAAGCGAACCTACTGGAACCTCCTCCCTTCCTTCCACGTTTCTCCAGAACATTCCTTTGTCCCTCCCCGCTAACCCACGTCTTCCCTCAAATCTTCCTCCTATAAATACCCATAACCACCACTCCCCTCCAAAACGACCAGATTCCCACTGAAAATTCACGGAAGCCTTCAAATCGAAACCGAAAAGCGAAAATTCCACCCACCAAGAAGCGAAGAATGGACATCAGAAACCCCGGTTTGGAAGCCCAGCTCTTCTCCACACTTCAGCACATCATGGACGCCGCCGCCGACGACGCCGAGAAATCCTTCAACGCCCCCACCCGGACCTACGTCCGTGACGCCAAGGCCATGGCCTCCACGCCGGCAGACGTCAAGGAGTACCCGACCTCCTACGTGTTCGAGGTGGACATGCCGGGACTGAAGTCCGGGGACATCAAGGTCCAGGTGGAGGACGACAATGTGCTTCTGATCAGCGGCGAGAGGAAGCGGGAGGAGGAGAAGGAAGGGGCTAAGTACGTGAGGATGGAGCGGAGGGTCGGCAAGTTCATGAGGAAGTTTGTGTTGCCGGAGAACGCGAACGTGGATGCGATTTCTGCTGTTTGCCAGGATGGGGTTTTGACTGTCACGGTGCAGAAGCTGCCGCCGCCGGAGCCGAAGAAGCCGAAGACAATCGAGGTCAAGATTGCTTGAAACTGTTTCTGTGATTTGGGTTATGAGAATAATCGTGCAGGGATTATAACATAAGGGTTTGTGTGTGGATTTTAGGGCTTCGTTGGTGTTTTCTGGATGTGTTTGTTATGTTTGTGTTGTGGTATTATAAGCTTGTTGGTTTTTCAGATCAATGAAGCATATTATGTGTTTTATTTCCATTTTTGTTTATGTTATCATAAAATTGGCTTCAAAAACGCGAATCAACGGAACAAATAACTCGAATAACCGAGCATTTTACGAACGTAATCAAACAAAGTTCGTAATATGTGTGTTTGGAATTACGCCATATACGTTGTTCCGTGTGTTAGCATTTTAAACAGATTGGGATGAGGCACTGCGTAATTCCTCAGCCTCTTCGAGGTTCTGTTTTGAGCCTATGCCGGTTCCGTTAGGCGCTTCTGATTCATCGCCGGACCTAGAAAACAGAGCAATGTTGAGATACCAATATCTCAACATTTTGTCAAGATTTAAGCATGCCACTTACCGCCCTCGACACTGGGGACACCACGGCCGTGCCATTCCGGGAAGGGAGTTTCTAGTTGGAAACCATTGGATGCGGCAAGTGGTGGCACAGATTTAATGACATCTTCGTTTCCGACTTAGTTCACAGCAGTGGCGGATGCACAGGGGTCAGCTGACCTCTCCAACTTCGATGAACGTTCATGGGTACATCTTAGGTGCTGATGCTTCGAATTTCAGTGTGCCTTTTTGAAGATTAAAGTTGGCTTCATTCATGCTCTCTAACTATTTGATAAAATGTCTGAAAGAAGAGTGAATGAAATGATCATCTCAGTGAATAACAAAACATCATTATTCTTAGATAAATATATTAATGGGATGTAATGGTATCAAACATTGTTAGTGTGTTTTTTTGTTAAGCATTTATATGGGAGCAGTCTTAGAAGATGTTAGTTACTCTCGTAAATGAGGGGGCATTCATTTCTAAATGATCTTAGACGACCTAAGACTCGATGAAATAGCGATATGCATGCTATTTTTGGTAAAAAATATTGCGTATTATTCTTACTGATCCTCCTAATATTATTTTCTGGATCCTTCAACAGAGCATGTGCTGTAAACAGCTCTCTCCACTTCCGGAACTGGCAAAAGCAGTATGCATTAATTTATATTGTTGAAATAATCCGAGTATAATCCGAAGAAGGTGGCCAAGAGGAACGTGGTAGGGAAGGCGGTGGCTAGGGAGGCAAAGGTGGTCAAGGCTGGGAAGAAGGTGGCCAAGAGGAATGTGGTTGGCAAGGTGGACAGGGCGGTGGGGAACGTGGTGCCGGTGGGTATGAATGGCAAAGTTGAAGGGCTTGACAAGCAGGCAGAGATCGGCTTGCTCTGATGGCAGTGCATGATCAGTGTACATGAGGATACTACTGAGTAGCGGTGGCGGTATATATATATTTGTCGATGAAGTATATATGCATCGTGTTATTTGGTTGGCCAAATTGAATTGTTCATCCCATGGTCATAGGACACTTGCATGATGACCCCTATGGTGAAAAAACTAGGAATTAAATCCCGATGGTCTAAAATGTTAGCAAATCTAGTCCAAAAGTAAGATTTCTGTTAAAGGACTGTTAAAACTTAAAAGTTGGAGTAAAACTGTATTTTCAGTTTCAATTGACATTGAATTGGGGCTTTTTTTTATTTAAAAAATTAAGCATTATTTTTTTTGTTAATTGTTATAAAAAATATTTATTTTAAATGTCAATTGGAACTGAAAATACAGTTTTACCCATACTTTTAACAGTCATTTAACAGAAATCTTACTTTTGGACTAAATTTTCTAACATTCTTGACCACAGGGGTTTAATTCCTAATTTTTTCATCACGGGGTCATCATGCAAGTTTCCTATGACCACAAGGATGAATAATTCAATTTGGCCTATTTGGTTTTCAACTCCGCCTATGTCTTACATGGCCGGTCCCAAGCCCGGATAAAGGAGGAGGGGGAGGGCGTCAGGTAGTCGACAGCCGGCACTCCATGATCACGTCGAATCCTTATGAAAATGAATCCAGAACAAAATCGCGTTAAAGCTAGGGCGTCACCCGTAAGTGGCGCGCTGTGTGGCCCGAGCACAGTGATAAGCGAGCAAGGGTCGCTGTATCTCCATCGGCACCCGGATGCAGTGTTAAATGAGCAAGGGGGCCATAGAAACTTCTTTTCGAACGACTCCACTCAAAGTTGTTTGGGAGCATATGCTCCTATCAACTTTACCCGGGACACACAAAAGAAGTACTTTGATCCTATTAGACGGGGGAGGGTGAAGAAGCTAGGACAGAAGTGTAGAGTTCAAGAGAGCAAAATGCGTTTAGGAACGTGGAATATAGGAACCTTAACGGGAAAATCTATGGAAGTAGTGGAAGTTATGGTGAGGAGAAGGATAAATATTATGTGCCTACAAGAAACTAAGTGGGTTGGTAGTAAGGCAAAGGATCTAGAAAACTCAGGGTTTAAACTTTGGTATTCGGGCACAAATAGAACGAGAAATGGTGTTGGCATCATCGTGGACAAGACCTTGGTACAAGATGTTGTAGATGTCAAGAGGGTAGGAGATAGAATCATGGCAATCAAGATTGTAATAGGACAAGAACTTATCAATGTGATTAGTGCGTACGCACCTCAAGTAGGGTTGGATACGAGTTCGAAGGAGAAATTTTGGGAAGATCTTGGAGACTTGGTGCAAGGAATTGCTCAGACGGAGAAGTTATTTTTATAGGAGGAGATTTAAATGGACACGTGGGCAGGGAGACAGGCAACTATGGAGGTTTTCATGGTGGCCATGATTTTGGGGAGAGAAACGAGGATGGGGAAGCTATCTTGGATTTTGCAATGGCATATGATCTCTTCTTAGCCAACACCTTCTTTAAGAAGAGAGAAGAACATGTGATCACCTACAAGAGTGGGTCGTAAAAAACACAAATAGATTTTCTTCTAATGAGGAAAGGGGATCGTATAACTTGTAAGGATTGCAAAGTTATACCAGGAGAGAGCGTGGCTAATCAACATCGCTTGTTGGTGATGGATGTACATATCAAAAGAGTAAGACAAAAGAACAAGACTTGGAAGTGCCCAAGGACTAGATGGTGGAATCTAAAAGAAGAAAAACAAGTCATTTTCAAAGAGAAGGTAATCACCCAATGTGTGTGGGGATAGAGAGGGGGAAGCTAGCCAAATGTGGGATTCCATGGCTAGTTGTATCCGAAAAGTAGCAAAAGAGGTATTAGGAGAGTCCAAAGGGCTTTGCCCCACACCAAAAGGAATCTTGGTGGTGGAATGAGGAGGTACAAACAAAGGTGAAGGCTAAGAAGGAATGTTGTAAAGCCTTATACAAGGAGAGGACCGATGAAAATGGTGAAAGGTATAGAAAAGCGAAGCAAGAGGCGAAGAAAGCTGTCAGAGAAGCTAAGTTAGCGGCTTACGACGATATGTATAAACGACTAGATACCAAAGAAGGAGAGTTGGATATCTATAAACTATCTAGAGCAAGGGAAAAGAAGACAAGGGACCTAAACCAAGTGAGGTGCATCAAGGATGAGGATGGAAAGGTTCTTGCTACAGAGAACGCGGTTAAAGACAGATGGAGAGGTTATTTTCATAATCTTTTCAATGAAGGACATGAAATGAGTGCTTCTTTAGGGGAGTTGAGTAACTCAGAAGAGTGTAGAAACTACTCTTTTTATCGTCGAATCCGGAAGGAAGAAGTGGTTGTAGCTTTGAAGAAGATGAAGCATAAAAAAGCAATAGGCCCAGACAATATACCAATCGAAGTGTGGAAACTTTTGGGAGAGACAGGTATAACATGGCTCACTGACCTTTTCAATAGGATTTTGAAAACGAAGAAGATGCCAAATGAGTGGCGAACGAGCACTTTGGTGCCTATCTACAAGAATAAGGGCGACGTACAAAATTGCATGAACTATAGGGGTATTAAGCTAATGAGTCATACAATGAAGCTCTGGGAGAGAGTCATTGAGCATAGATTGAGGCAAGAGACACGGGTTTCGGACAACCAATTCGGGTTCATGCCAGGGCGCTCAACCATGGAGGCAATCTATCTCTTACGAAGATTGATGGAAAGATATAGAGATGGGAAAAAGGATTTACACATGGTCTTTATAGATTTGGAAAAAGCGTATGATAGGGTCCCAAGAGACATTCTTTGGAGGATTTTAGAGAAGAAATGGAGTACGAGTAGCATATATCCAAGCTATAAAGGATATGTATGAAGGAGCAAAGACTGCCGTAAGAACTCATGAAGGACAAACCGAAAGCTTTCCCATAACTGTAGGATTACATCAAGGCTCATCCTTAAGTCCTTACCTTTTTGCGTTGGTAATGGATGAGTTAACAGGACATATTCAAGATGATATTCCTTTGGTGTATGCTTTTCGCAGACGATATAGTGTTGATAGATGAAACTCAAGAAGGGGTAAATGCAAAGCTTAACCTTTGGAGAGAAGTGTTGGAATCTAAAGGTCTTCGCCTAAGCCGATCAAAGACAGAATATATGGAGTGCAAGTTCAGTGCAAATGGAGGCCAAAACGAGTTAGGGGTGAGGATCGGAGATCAAGAAATACCAAAGAGCGACCGTTTTCGTTACCTAGGATCTATCTTGCAAAAGAACGGAGAATTAGATGGAGATCTCAACCATAGAATACAAGCTGGATGAATGAAGTGGAAGAGTGCATCCGGCGTGTTGTGTGACCGCCGTATGCCACTGAAGCTCAAGGGAAAATTTTATAGGACGGCAATAAGGCCGGCGATGCTGTATGGCACAGAATGTTGGGCGGTGAAACATCAACACGTACACAAAATGGGTGTAGCGGAGATGAGGATGCTTCGTTGGATGTGTGGGCACACGAGAAAGGATAAGATTAGGAATGAGGATATCCGGGGTAAAGTAGGAGTAGCCGAAATTGAAGGAAAGATGAGAGAAAATCGGTTACGGTGGTTTGGACATGTGCAAAGAAGGCCTACTGACGCTCCGATTAGAAGATGCGACTATGGGACAGAGGTTCAGGGCCGAAGGGGTAGAGGAAGACCTAGGAAAACTTTGGAAGAGACTCTAAGAAAAGACTTAGAGTACTTGGATCTAACGAAGGACATGACACAGGATCGAGCACAATGGCGTTCTAAGATTCAT